TTACACAGCAGGCATCAACCTCTCTCTCTCTCTCTCTCTCTCTCTCTCACACACACACACACACACACATACACACACACTTCAGTGTGTTTAACACACAACTGAGATTAATACATACAGCTGCACTTCATCAAACTCAACTGCACAATGTTTTATCTCACCGAGGCTGCATTTACTTGATCAAATATACAGTAAAAATATGAAATATTATAACAATTTAAAACAGCTGTTTTCTATGTGAATATCTGTTAAACTGTAATTTATTTCTGTGATGCGCAGCTGTATTTTCAGCATCATTACTCCAGTCTTCAGTGTCACATGATCTTCAGAAATCATTCTAATATGCTGATTTCAAACACACAAAGTGGATGGGGGAAAGGAACAGCATATCAATAACAGGACTGATGGACTGACTTCAGTCCTCCAGAATATATATATATATATATATATGTGTGTGTCTCTATTCTGGATGACTGAAGTCAGTATATACAGAAAATATATATATTTGTTTTCTATATATATATATATATATTTTTTAATATACAGTGGGTACATATTTATGTCAAATAGAAATCTTTTGTAACATTATAAATGTCTGTACTGTCACTTTTTATCATTTTTTATGCGTCCTTGATGAATAAAAGTATCAATTTCTTTAAAGACAAACAAACAAAAACGTACTAACCCAAAACTTATGAATGGACATGTATAATATATCGCACAGCTTTAGTCCACATTACAACATTGACCTCAGTTTCCCGCCAAATCTTACACATGTACATTGGACTCGGTTCCTTCTGTGTGTGTGTGTGTGTGTGTGTGTATGTGTGTGTTTTGTGACACTCATAGAGCTGAACACAAAGAAGCTGCTGGCCTTGTTACTGTCTGTGTTTTGCAAGCTTTCAGCTGACCTCTGACCTCTGGTTAATCTCATTCACAAAGGCCGTATGACACAGTCAAGACTCACAAACACACACACACACACACACACACGGAGAGACACACACACACACACAGGTTCATTCACATTTCTTAATACTCTCAAACTAGGCTTCAAGGTAAATGGTTTTAGTTGAGTGTAAATCTCAGTAAACGTGTGTGAATGTATCGTGTGTGTGTAAGCGCTGATATGCAGTACCTGTAATGACGTTAATATCTGGGTAGTTGTTTTCCGAGAGCTCGACGGCGTGACTGTCCCTCTCAAACGCTTCCCGCAGCTCCTTCTTCACCGCAGCCGAACCGCACAGACGATACAGACCCACCACCTGTCAATCACACACACAACCCTTATACAACCTTCAGAGAACCTCACAACAACATCACTAATCAATAACACCTATAACCATCATGCAATGCTGACATTAACATCACCATTGTAGTAATTAGGAGGAAACATCTCTAATTGTTATGGTTAGTAAAAAAAAAAATGTGCACGCCTACACACACACACACACACACAATCACAAACACACACTTCTCACGCACGCACGCACGCGCACATGCGCACATACACACGCATATATAGAGTGAGTGCAGGAAAGATATATTCTTATTTATAAAGTACAACAATAATGATAATAATCATAATAACAACAATAATAATAATATTTGATTTAACAATTATTAATTTCTGAGTATTATTATTATTACTATTGAGAAATTTTAGCACACTTTTTGTATGTACATCTGTATGTTGCATATTTTATTAAAATATAATAATAAAAATAATAAATAATCAATCATCATCATCAAACATAATACTAAATAATAATAACAATCATCATAATAATAACATTTGATTTAATTATAAATTTGTTCATATTTTTATTATTATTGAGAAATTGTCATTTTTTTCACATTTTTATCTGTATGTTGCATATTTTTATTAAAATACAATAGTAATAATACAATAATAATAATAAATGTAAATTAATTATTAAAACAAAATAACCATAATCATCATCATCGATTAATTATTATTAATAATAATAATAACAATTAATAATTATTTTAATTTTAATATTTCAATGTATTCATCTGCAAGTATTATTATTATTATTGAGATACTATTTTAACATATTTTTATCTGTATGTTGCATATTTCTATGAAAATCTAATAATAATAATAAAATAATCATAATCATCATCATCAAACATAATACTAAATAATAATAATAATAATAATAACATTTGATTTAATTATTTTATTTAATTATAAATTTGTTAATTTTTATTATTATTGAGAAATGATTTTTTTCACATTTTTATCTGTATGTTGCATATTTTTATTTAAATACAATAGCAATAATACAATAATAATAATACTCAAAAAATTTTAATTAATTATTAAAACAAAATAACCATAATCATCATAATCGATTAATTATAATTAATAATTTATTATTTATTTATTATTTTATTTTTATTAATAATAAGATTACAAAACTATACAGGTATTCAAGGGCAGGCTTTAAGATGGTTTAGATCCTACCTGTCCGATCGCTACCATTTTGTTCATTTAAATGGGGAGTCATCTCAATTATCACCAGTAAAATATGGAGTGCCACAAGGATCTGTCCTAGGTCCTCTGCTATTTTCGATATACATGTTGCCACTTGGTAATATTATTAGAAAATACGAGATTAGTTTCCACTGTTATGCTGATGACACTCAACTATATATCTCAACAAGACCAGACGAAACTTCTAAATTATCTAAGCTAACAGAATGTGTTAAAAATGTAAAAGATTGGATAACCAATAATTTTCTCCTATTAAATTCGAATAAGACAGAGATATTACTTATTGGACCAAAAAGACAGTACACAGAATCTCTTGGATTACAATTTGCAACTAGACGGATGTACAGTTACTTCCTCTACAGTCAAAAATCTGGGTGTTATATTAGATAGTAACTGACAGTCACCACTGATAAGCTACCACTAAATATTGTAGAAACTTCATTTGCTGTAAAGTTGCTTTGCAACGATTTGTATCGTGAAAAGCGCTATACAAATAAACTTGAATTGAATTGAATTGAATAATAATAATAATAACAATTAATAATTATTTTAATTTTACTATTTCAATTTATTCATCTGCAAAAACTATTATTATTGAGATACTATTGTAACATATGTTTATCTGTATGTTGCATATTTCTATGAAAATATAATAATAATAATAATAATAATAATAATAAAAGTCAATACATTACTTAAGTACAGTATTTTTAATTTTTTTAAAATAATAATAAAAATCATGCAAAATACAGATGGAAATGTTTGCTAAAATATCTCATTCACCATTGGTAAAAAGTCTAAAAAGTCTCACAATTGAGAAAAAGTGAAATGTGGACCCTGGCTAGAGATAAATGAAAGTGATCAAAAAATTTTTGTATCTCCATCTACATATCAATTTTAGTGCAGTACCAATACAAGAGAGTTTAGCAAAGGTCTTTAACTTAAGCCTCTTCTTTGTTGCACAAGATGTAAAAATGTGACCGCTTGCACGTAGAAGCACATCTCCTTATTATCCAATTCTTAAAAAACATTTCCTGTTGGCTGTCGGAAAGACTGCAGGTATGGAAAGATCCGGAGTCTTAACCGGCTTGGATCCGGACCAGCTCACACCTGCAATCCTGCGCACAAACACTCGTACATACACAACACATTCATTCACAGAGGAATTCTGCCGCCTGCTGTGGGCGGAGTTAAGACCAGAGGGAGCCAATCAGATTCAGCACTCAGTCCAACTGCCTAATGCATACTACACTATAAACTGCATACTATTTTTTTAATTAAATAAGCATTATGCAATGACAAACATTATTGTCACATGACAACATTATGTTTCAGTTTAATTCAGTGAATGACATCCAGCCATCATCTCAAATAAATTCGACTTTTTAGGATTTTTAATTGGTTCATATGTCACTGTCCACTTGAGTTGCTGCATCATATAATCAACACTTTGAACAGTGTGTTCTGGTTGCATACTGACAAGTATTTTCATGTAACGTACTACCATGAATGCTGTGCACTGCTAAACATCTTTAATAACCTACTACTTCTGCCAAACTGTGCAGTATACAACAAAAAACACTGTGTGAAACACTGTATCCCACAATGCATTGTGCTCAACTTGATGAATGAGCCTGAGTATCTATACAATTTTGAAAATGTAAAAAAAAAAAAAAAAAAATTTTAAAATCATAAATGCATATATAAATGCATTTAGGCAAAATAAACAAATGCATAAATAAACAACTGCACAAATGCATAAATGCATAAATAAACAAATGCAAAGTTGCATAAATAAATAAATAAATACAAAAATGACTAAATGCATACATGCATAAATAAATGCAAAAATAAAAAATGCAAAACGTTAGTATTTAATATATATGCACACAGTTTAGTAGGTAGTAAGCTAGCGTTTCATCTCCAACAAAAAACACTGTGTGAAACACTGTATCCCACAATGCATTGTGCTCAACTTGATGAATGAGCCTGAGTATCTATACAATTTTGAAAATGTAAAAAAAAAAAAAAAAAAAATTTTAAAATCATAAATGCATATATAAATGCATTTAGGCAAAATAAACAAATGCATAAATAAACAACTGCACAAATGCATAAATGCATAAATAAACAAATGCAAAGTTGCATAAATAAATAAATAAATACAAAAATGACTAAATGCATACATGCATAAATAAATGCAAAAATAAAAAATGCAAAACGTTAGTATTTAATATATATGCACACAGTTTAGTAGGTAGTAAGCTAGCGTTTCATCTCAAACACAGCCTAGCACATTCTGCAATGATTTAGCAGCACAGGCTCCAATAAACAGAAGAAATTCCCTGCAATGTGAAACAGCAGCTTGATTCAGACCAGTGGCATGTGTGTATGTGTGTAACTCTAAAAATGTCACCCAGAGGAAATAATAGCTTGACCACAGTCTTGTTAAAAACAGCTGAAGAGTTTCCTGAATCCACTAAAACCTTCCAGTCCTTTCTTCCCCTAGTAAAGAACACATCCTGGTTCTGGGTTGGTCTTCAGTTTTAGCTTCGCCTGTAACTGTGCATGTGACCACAGATTCCACGCTGCAGCTAACGTGACGTGCATTAAACCCAAAGAGGAATTTTTCATTTGGACACAAGCCAAACGTCTCCACACAGACTCAACGCTTGGCTTCCGGAGCTGCTCTTTAGTAGGTCAAACTTTAGAGGTCACAGGCTAATTTGTAAAAATAACAGTTCGAAATGACTCTCATAACTCAAAACTTTGAGGCACGGAAAGTATGTTTTAAAGTTATGAATTCAAAGGAATAATTCCCTAAAAACTTTGTTGTGTGAAAGAGAGAATATTTTGTATATAAGAAACAAAAGTAAAAGAGACAAAATGTTCATTTTTTTAGGTGAAATATTCCTTTAAACAGGCAAGAAGGGCTGCGGAAAAACCCTCACGGCACACGGCTAATCATTTACACATCCAGGTTGGTGGTTTTCCTGCGGCCATAGTTCAGAAGAAACATTCCTTTAGCTTTCGTGAGCTTTGTATATCGTGCTTTCTTAAGACAAACTATACTGACTTCAGGCTTTAGTAAAGAACTCCACACAGTGAGCAGCTAAGCTCTGACCTTAAACCAAGTTCACTTATTTTAAGAACACTAGAGAAATACTAATTCGGTGAACTGAATGCATAACAATACATAACAGCCACTAGGCTAGGCTACTGCAAATTCCACAGTATATACTGCAGTATACAGTACATAATTACTGTCTTAAACAGCAGTGTGCTATGTTGCTGTCACATGACCAAGAATATTTACATTGGCAAGAAGCATCCAATTATCATCTAAAAAATAAATACAATAATTGCACATTTGTGCATCCCTGGTACCAGGAATACCACAGACTAGAGCTTCTGAAAAATGTTAGTTTCAGTAGTGTAGTTTGTTTGGAGGCTAACAGCACTTACATACTGCACAGTATGTAGCGTATACTTAAAAAAAAAAGAAAAGAAGGAAAAGCATAAATGCATGAATAAATAAAAATGAGGAAAAAGCTTAAAATAGTATTCAACAGTATCTCATCACTATTTATGCATAAATAATTGCAAAAATAAACCAAGGCATTAATGCATCAACAATTGCATGAATGCATAAAAATACAAATACATGCATAAATAAAAATGAGGAAAAAGTTTAAAAACTGTATTCAATAGTATGAGGTATGCAATAGTCAGTATGTTGTACTTGTCACATGACCTCACTGCATTGAGTGAATACTTGAACTATCTTATTGACTAACGACTTTTAAATACAGAAAGCTGCACTGTATTTTATACATACTGCATGCTAACTTAAAATAATATGTGAAATAGTATGCTACACTGTCGCCACATGGCCTGGCTAGGTTGCATCATCTCAAAAAAGTGATGACTGCACAGCAATGCAACTTGGGAGCAGCACATGAATAAGAAAAACCATGCTAAATTTGATATGCGGATATAAGCATCAGATATATGGGCTTGAGCTGCAGATTCAGAGGCTGACAACACTCCACAAAGTGGAGTCAGCTGAGGTAAAAACAGCCAAAGACAGATTGAGAGAAACACCCTCATGATCCCAGCAGAACTTTAAAGCCTTCCCAAAGGACCTACAAGCTTTTTTTTTTTTTTTTACACCGATAGGGGCTGAAAGTCTCTCTCAACTGATCTAGAATCAGATCTTCCATGTGTGAGTATTGAGCTGCAGGGGTAAATCTGATCTGAGAAAAGCAGTCAGAGTTGTTTTGTGGGTTGACGGCAGACACACTTGGTGGGATGAATGGTCAAGAACAGCATTAAACTCTGGATGACACTGTAACAGAGACAGATTGTGTGTGTGTGTATAACGGAGATGAATGGCTAGGATTTTGGCAATATGCCTGTGCACACAAACCAGCGAGAGGCCTTGCTAAGCTTGTTTGTGTGAGTGTGTAATGTCCATGGACAAGGACTTTAGAACGGTTGGTGAGCTCACTTTAACCGAAGCCTAACGAATGACAGAAGAGACTCATGGGCTACGTTCACACTCCAAGCCTTAGTGCTCAGTTTTGATTTATTGCTCAGATCCGACTATTCACATTATTTTGTAAATGTGGCCAATATCAGACTTAAGTGTAAACTGGTAACGGTCCTGAAATGACCCACATGCGCAAAAGAACAACAAAGTGGCATGCAGCAGGCTGTCATACAGAGAGAGGTAAACCTGGAGGCCACTGAAGTCAGCGTTTACACATATTTATTTTGATGTGGCATGGAAGCCAGACAAGGATGAGGAGAAAGAGAGCAAAGCTATTCCCATACAGTTTTCCCTCTAGTTTTGCATGTAGAGAGCTGTCATCATAATACATATGCGTACCACACTGTCCCTCCACTGACTACCTTCGCAGCTGTCTTCCATATTAACTGAGTAACCAAGGAACTACTGGTATGTAAAACCTCTGGAGTGACTCCCATCATCCAAAGTGACGTAAAAAGTACCAAGAATTCTGATATGACTGTTCAGACTGAGGTCGCATTGCAAAACATTGGACTTAGGATGACGTATGGAAGTGGCCTAAACCTGAATTGGAAAGATCAGATTCCATGTGGTTTGTGCTGCTCACACTGCTCACATATGAGTATAAATTGTATTTGGGCCACTTTTCGGCTTGCAGTCTGAACGTAGCCATGGAGATACACTTTAAGGCTAAATGCGTAATTTCTGGACAACTAGTTGGACCAATTATAACTGCAAAATACCAAGCAAGTTTCTCAAACATTCTTACTGCTCTTTCTGACCCATCAAAGGTAGTCCCATCTCAAACTCTTCTAGGACTCTTTTGAAGGTGAACCAACGTGACGCTCTTCAGAAAGTCAATGTCTCAAACTCTTCTAGGACTCTTTTGAAGGTGAACCAACGTGACACTCTTCAGAAAGTCAATGTCACAAACTCTGAGGGTGTATTCACACCAGGAAAGTCACTTGCTAATGGCTTACATATAATTGCAGATTAAACTTGAATAGAAGTACTTTGACATCATAAGACTTACACATTTCACCTTAAATTAGAGATTAAGTCTGGAACAGCATGCATGTTAAAGAACCATAAAGATCTGCTCTACTTACTCACCTGACAACCCCTCCTCTCGATCTCAGAGATGCATTTCTCGATGAGCAGTGGAACCATTAATCCAGAAGCTTCCCATTCCACCACGCGCCAAGCCTCTACACCAAACACCTGCATTTCATGACCCTGGCCATCAAGAGAGTTCTGCCTCTGCTCCATGAGGCTCAGCTTCACGTAGATCATTCCACGTGGTTCCAGGCGGACCGCAAGCTGATGCGTCTTACTCACACGAAACAAGGCCGGGAGAACCACAGTCCCATGGCAACACACCCTGTTCCTTCGTGGTGTGGACTCCCAACTGAAAACAACAAGTTTGAGGTGCTGAGCGTTCTCCAGCTCAATGTTGAAGGTGTGGTCCATGTCCAGGAAGGCTGTCCGACAGGTCAGCAAGGCCGTGCGAGCTTTGTTGACAGAGTCCACCTGGATAGCGCAGTAGACATCACGGGAATCAACTCGTGGTGGCTTCAGGTCCTCTGCACCATAGAAGTGCAGACTCATTAGTCCAGAGATGTACGTTAGGCACTTTGGCTGCTCAGAGAAACTGTACGAACGGAAGGCGTCGATATCCAGCTCTGTGCCAGGGAGCCTCGGACTTCCACCGTTCCCATTGGGATCCCTGTCCCGGGCTTTACCGTTCTTTCTTTCTGAGTTTCCGTGCTTTCCTGACTTGGCGACAAGTTCGGGTGAGTCTCCATCGCTTAGGTAACCTCCCTTACTGGCCGATTTTGGAACGCCACCGCTATTGCTCCTCCTCTTATCGAAGTTGTGCTGCGTAGAAACACTGCTGTCCAAATGGTACCACCAAATCACATTACCACTTGCCAATGCAGTCGTCACACCTGCTGGGGACAGTCTGGACTGGGACTGGCCCAGCTCTGCCATCCCATTAACTTTTGGTGAGTGAGCCCTGGGTTCTGATTGGCTGTTGCTGATAACCACATTGCTAGATGGGTTCCCTTTAACACTAAGCTTCCGACTCAGATCAGGCAGTTTCTTCATCTTCATAGAGAGTTTTCGGACAGTCCGTGGTGACTTGATTTTATCAGGAAAAGACCAGTTGATAGTAGTGCTCCTTTTAGCTGGGTTGGGACTAGAAGAGGGAGAAAGTCTACCAGTGGACTGCTCTGAAGGATCTGTGGAATGAAAGAGGAGGGTTTAATTAGTACATTGACCAAGTCATTGACCCCCAGGTCTTAGCTGACCCTTAGATGAACTCAATACCATTTGTGGGTATATGTTTTAAGTGAATCTTATACCACAAGATTACTAAATTCCTCATTTGGATTAGTTGATAGATGCTTCAAGGTTTCAAGCCAAAACCTTTCCAAAAAGTAACAGTGATTTGGAATATTCAAAGCAAGACACTTAATTGGTGGAAGATGTACAAACAAGAGTGCTTTAAGGACTTAAAAAATGTCACATGTTGTAAACATGTACACATGGAAATAATAATAAGCAGAATAATTAACGTATGTCCAAGGTGTGACAGTTCAACACTTCTTATATCTTCAGTTCTTTAAAAACATGTCATCAATTATTCCTTTACCTAACCAAAACTCTTGTTGCGTGCTCGAAACAACCCCAGTAACTAGACAATTTGACCCATTATCCATAATTCTTTCCTATTGCCTCTGGCCTGTTCGCTCCTGTTTAGTCCACAGGATTCCCCTTTGCTCTATGCACATACATGCCATAATAACTACATATATCCCCAAAAGTCCCTTTCCAGCTCAGTCACACACATCAAAAACAAAGAACATCTGTGTAACATTCCAGAGTGGAGCGATAAACCAGACCTTCCATTGGCCAAGAGCGCTGTGGTTAAATCGCTCCATCAGCCTCAGCATAATTTGCTCTTGCTCTCTCGATTAGTAGATTTCCTTTTACGAGAGACTTCTGGACCTGGGATGCAGTTATCTCCGCAGCTTGTTACCGCAGTCATTATGCAGTGGCTGACAAATCAGATTTCTTGAACATGCAACCCAGATCGGTCTCCTTCCTCTACCTCGCCCTCTCTTTCTCTCTGATCACATGGCACGTTCATCTGCTTTACTACAACAGCGGCTCTGTTGCCACAGTTCAGGGCCTCCTTCAACACCCGCCGTTTGATCTGGTACTTACCCGCCAAGATAAAACAAAGGCCCGATTCTGTTAAAGAGAGAGAGAGACATGCCAGTGTGAAGAGACCAAAAAAGAGGGAGGCAAGGAGAAAGAGAAAGACTGTTTTGAGAAAGATTGATGTGGAGGAGATGGGGCACTTTGGCATCGCAAGTGTGTGTGTCTTTTTAAAAGGACAGTTCACTTAAATATGAAGATTTTGTTGTCATTTACTCATATTTCTTTTGTTTTGGAGTACGTCAGGACTCAACCTCTCTAAATTCTGTCAGACTAAACAGAGTCGGAAAGGCTCGCTGAATCCATTTGCACAATATGAAGGCTTAACTAGACAGCTTGCATTTACCTAGTTTGTTGTTTATCAATGCGTGTTATTCTGAAGAAAATTATATTTTCAACTTTTTTTTTGTCTCTGAAATGACATTCCATTCTGCTGATGTCACCAAGGCCATGTGGGCGGAGAAAAATAATGTTAACCAATAATATCACAGTCCACTTTTCACAATCTAATCAAATGCCACTTACATAAGTAAATATACAAATAGTCCATACAAACTGAATGCAAAGAGTGAATAAGATTTGAAAGCTAATTTGATTTTTTACAAGAGGTCATTTTACGTATATTCAAATATTCACCAGAGCAACTGTTTTCAACATTGATAATAATCAAAAATATTTCTTGAGCAGCAAATATGCATATTAAAATGATTTCTGAAGATCATGTGACACTGAAGACTGGGGTAATGATGCTGAAAATTCAGCTTTAATCACAGCAATAAAATACATTTTTAATCACATAGAAAACAACTATTTTGAATTGCAATATTATTGCACAATGTTTTTACTGTATTTTTGAGCAAATAAGTGTAGCCTTTATTGAGCATAAGAGACTTCATTCAGAAACATGAGCAAATCTTAAAAATTCCAAACTTTTAGTGTATGCAAAAGCACAATAAACAATCCTGATTAATTAACGCAATTATAGTTTTTAACTATTCATGCAGCCCTAACTAATTTAACAGTATAAATCCCTACATGCAACTGAAAACCTAGATGTAAATATGTGACGCCTCACACACACACACACACGCACAGAGTCTCAGGGGCCCAGATTAGAAGGCAAGGTTGCATTCCAAAACACACACACACCCCTGCTCTCATCCACTCAGAATACAGCATCTCTAATCAAAACACTAGATTTATTAAAAGGATTTATATCATAAAAAAATCTAATTCTATTAACATACTGTCACTTGCAGAATTTTATTTTGTTGATAACACTCACTGACTGTGTGCGCGTTTATTTTACATTTTTGATTGTGACAGGTGGTGAGTGGGCCGATCTGGTCACTAGTCACACTAATTATAGAGTGTCAGAAGACATTTTACAGCCTTAAATCTGACACACACACACACACACACACAAACACACACACACGCACGCACACGCACACACACCATTAGTGTGTGCCATTAGTGACAGAGAGAAAACTGGAGCATTTATCTGAGATCGTGAAGTCTGATGTAATGGACTGTGTGTTGAATTGATCACAGATCTGCTCTCTAAATTATTCAAGAGCTTCATTTAGAACCACAGAACAGAGCTCTGTTACACACACACACACACACACACACACACACACACACACACACAGGGCTCTGCGAAAATCAGACACTAAAATTTTAAGGCTGTCGTTAAATGAGTGTGAATTTGAATTGAACTGCTCACACCCCACAGGATGTTGAATTGGAATTTGAATAGAAATGACAGGAAGAGGAATTTACTGAATTGCAATTGAATGAAATTAAAACAGTCCCACAATAGAAGACTGGCATTCATCCAACACAAGCTCTAAAATATAAATAATTAATCATTAATTTGTAAAGCTTTATTCCCTAACTAAGAATGCAAAATATATTTTGATTATATTTCTCTAAAATAAGTGCAATACTGTTTTACAGAACATTGTTTTCAGAGAATTTTATAAAGTCATCCCATTTTAATTTGAAAATGTATTGTGCTTTATAAAATATAATTTGTTCAACACAAAAATTGTGTGGAATAAGTATATTTAATATATACTTAACAAATTAACAATGGATATTGTTGGAAGATTACTTATTTTCGCACAATTTTTGTGTTGAACAAATCAGTTGTGTGGAACTAACTGTGCATTAAACGGTTTTACTGCATACCTGCCAGCCAATCAGAATCCAGCTGGATTCTGATTGGCTGGCAGGTATGCAGTAAAACCGTTTAATGCACAGTTAGTTCCATGTCAGTTTAATCACCGTTCCATATTAATGTGCTGCTTTAATTGATGCACACAAACACACACTCATCACACACACACACACACACACACAGAGAAAGAGGTCGGAGATCGTAGATTGCGCTGCGCACACACATAAACTTGTTGTCAACGCTCCCCCTCGATAATACATTAGCCTAGATACTAGATCGCTACATTATATTCCTAAACAACGAGGTGTAAAATCGCAGTTTTTGAAGTAATTAATTGTTTGTAGAGACGCGCAGAGGCAGCACGCAGGTAACACACACACAACTGTCATCTCTCTCTCTCTATCTCGATCGATGATTAATTGAAATAAATACTATAATTGATTCAAAAAAATGTGATCTTACCGCACTATTTCATCTCTGTGTCTGATTTGAAGCGGGCAGAACGCTAGCGCTCACGAGCTGTAACTGACGGTGATTAAACTGACTTGGAACTAACTGTGCATTAAACGGTTTTACTGCATACCTGCCAGCCAATCAGAATCCAGCTGGATTCTGATTGGCTGGCAGGTATGCAGTAAAACCGTTTAATGCACAGTTAGTTCCATGTCAGTTTAATCACCGTTCCATATTAATGTGCTGCTTTAATTGATGCACACAAACACACACTCATCACACACACACACACACACACAGAGAAAGAGGTCGGAGATCGTAGATTGCGCTGCGCACACACATAAACTTGTTGTCAACGCTCCCCCTCGATAATACATTAGCCTAGATACTAGATCGCTACATTATATTCCTAAACAACGAGGTGTAAAATCGCTGTTTTTGAAGTAATTAATTGTTTGTAGAGACGCGCAGAGGCAGCACGCAGGTAACACACACACAACTGTCATCTCTCTCTCTCTATCTCGATCGATGATTAATTGAAATAAATACTATAATTGATTCAAATAAATGTGATCTTACGAGCTGTAACTGACGAAAATAACAGTCATTTTTACCTTTCCGGTCAAATATTGCGCCGCAAACCGTTGATTATACCTTACATATATAAAGTGTACAAATACGTGTGTGTGTGTGTGTGTGTGTGATTATATATATTAAATATTATTATTATTATACATTTTATATTATTATATCAGTAAATAAATACAAATTTCTATAGATTTGTAAAAATTTCGAACAGTTACAATTATGATCTGATAACTTAATTTTGAATGTCAAGACCTATTATACATTATAAAAGCACACACACAAATAAATCAAATAAAGTCAAATAAATACTAACATCAAATATATTGACATCAAATTTAAATACCAATTTCAATGTAGCTAAATATTTATCATATATTGAAAAAGTATAGTTAAACTATAAATGTAATCTACACTGAAAGCAGTTATATTAATATATTTGAATTTCATTCCATTTAAATGTAACTTATTTAAATTCAAGTTAGAATGACAGTTCTGCATCATGTTACAATTTAAATTTAAATTCAAATTCAGGAATTACTTTGAACTTTCAAAGCCACTGCAAATTCAGTTCTGAACATTTCACAACCCTGAATCACACAAACAACAAACACACACACACACATACACACACACACACACACAAACATGCGCACTCACACACTCACACTCATGTGCACACACACATGCGCACACACCACATCAAACGACCGCTAGTCACACAAACAGAGCCGACGCTAACTACCGCTAACAGACATGAACTCAAAGACGTGTTCGTAGCCTCCAGAGAAGCGTTACGCTGACAGCTTCACTAGTTCGCTGACAGGAGTCTTTAATAGGCATGACTGCATTAGTGAATAATGCCACACATTCATACGACGCTAAACATAGAGCTGCGAGAGTCCAGAGAGCCAGAGATGATATGATACAACCCCGAAAACCATAATACAAATAAATCTAAAATCACAATATGGCTCAGCGTGATTTTTCAATAAATATGTGTGTTTGAGAGTGAATCGCGGCACTGTGTTCATTTACACGCGAGCAGCTCATGATCTGGTGCTTGCAGCTTTCAAACTCATGTCTGTATTTGCTGTGGGTTTGAATTGTTTTATTAATGCATCTGAAAATGCAATATGCACCAAACGTCTTCACAAACTTGTATAAGAAGCGCTTGGTTTTCCATCAAAATAAAAGCGGTTTAACATTTGAAAAATATTAGTATTACAATTTTACTGTTGTTCTGTAAAATTAAATAAAAATACATAGAACTACTACAACTATTATTATTATTATATTATATTTAATTATATTATTATTATTATTATATTTTTTTCTTTACATGTCTTATTTGTTTTAATATTTTTATTTGGGCCAAACTATGCAGCCTTACAAGCAAAAATTTGTACAAAACGTTTATTTATTTGTTTGTTTGTTTATGTATTTTATTTTTGGAGTACATTTTACAAGAAAATACTCTTTAGGTCTTTCTGCTTAATTTTTTTTTTTAAAGAAATTAAGAAATGTATTCTTTAAAAAATTAAGAATACATGTTCAATGTTTAAAATAAAATTATTATTATTATTATATTTTTTTCTTTAAATTATTTTACAGTCAAATATTACTAAAGTAATATTGCTCATTTTAGTAATATAATTAAATTATTTTTTTCTTTAAATTATTTTACAGTCATTTCACTTTAAATTATTTTACTAAAGTAATATTTCTCATTTTAGTAATATAATTAAATAATAATAATAGTAATAAAATTGTATTATTATTATTATTATTATTATAATAGTCTTTTTGATATATTGTCACACATGTCCGGGCCAAACTGTGAAGCCTTACAAAAAGCATGCATTGTAAAAATTATTTTTTTTCAGCATATTTGACAAGAAAATAGTATTTCAGACAATCTACTTCAAAAATTCACATTTAATTCAATGCGTTACTTTGCCATTTCCTTGTAATTATTTGTGAATTTTTTAATGTCAAATGTCAAATGTTTAATGATTAAATCCTACATCAAATTTTTTTTCAGTGCAGCACAATTTTTTTTTTAATCACATTTTTAATCGCAATTGCAGTTTTTAATCAGAAAAATCACAATTCAGTGTTTCATACTAGAAAGTGTCTTCATTTATCCAACGTTTTATAATGTAAAACCTCACAACCCTTACACAGATATGAATAATTATTTTCCAGACAGGTTTGTTATCCCAGTAGTACGCTGAACATGAAGCGCATCTGAAACATAAGACTGTATAAAAACATGGACGTAGTGTCCGTGACGTCACCCGTAGGTTTCCGAAGAGCGTTTTTGAAGCTCAAAAGTGGGCGGAGCCGGCCGTCGCCATCTTGGCAGCGCGTCACCGCGCGTCACTCCCAGATAATCGAAAATGGGCAAAGAGGCGGGAGCTGGTTGCTGAAGCCACGCCCATCTAGCTCGACAGTGGTGACAGCAGCGGCAATCCACCTGTCACTCAAGTGGCCACGCCCTTAATTATGCAGAACTTTAAGGCTTAATATAATTTAAACGGATGAGTTATAAAAAAATTCACCCGCCTCACAGTTGAGGGCAAAATTAGCTATATAGACCAAAACCACTTTTTGTACCAAGCTGTAAACATATTTTTTTCTGCTGTAAAGCTGGGCATTTTAACTTTGGGAGTCTATGGGACTGACTCCCTTTTGGAGCCAGCCTCTAGTGGCCAGTCGATGAATTGCAGTTTTAGTCACTTCCGTCTTGGTTTCACGAGAGAGAGCGGGAGGTTGCCGCTTGATCTGAAACTGCTAAAGCTGTACCTGTGGCTCTGCTCTCGTCCTGCGTCTGTCTCTCGTCTGCGTCCGCTCGTCTCGTCTGGACTCTGATGACGGGAACGCAGCGCGACAGATCGGCCTCTTCATCCTCCGGGATGGGGTTGTACCAGATCTCGCCCTCGTCGTCGGCGTCGTTCTCCTCGGCCGGGTCGGTCCGGTGTTTGACTTTAGCAGCGGGCAGCGGGAGACGGCGAGGACGCGCTTCTGCAGACATCAATGAAGCGCCATCAAACCACTGGACATTTACAACAGAATCTAACTATTAAAACATTAGAGATAAAGCTGAAGAAGAATATTAGTACTGGTATAAATACTAGTATTTATTAGTATACAGTAGTCAACATTTGAAGTGGATCAAAAAAGTTCATTAAAATTGTCCTAAGACAAGAATTTTGGTTTTAGGTTTTAGGACAACTTTGATGAAAGGTTTTGATCCACTTCAAATGTTGACTACTGTACAGTATAAGTAAAATATAAAATATTATATTAATTATAAGTAGAGATGTCAAACAAAGTAAATGAAAATTAGAAATGTGGCTAGAACTGAAATGAGTGAATTAAACTAAAACTGAAATAATAATAAATTAAAAATAAATAAAATATAAATGACAAAAGTACTAAATTACTAAAAATAAACTAAATTGAAAAAAATAAATCAATAAAAATCAAAATATAAAAATAAACTAAATTGAAAAAAATAAATCAATAAAAATCAAAATATAAAAATAAAGTAGCTTTAATTTAAATAAAGCTGAAATCAAATAAAAAAGCTAGAAAAAATTGAAATGTTGCCTTGTATTACATTTCTAAAGTACTAAAATAACTAGCTAAAATAAAAGTAAAACTGAAATAAGAATAAATTAAAAATATAAATTAAATAAATTTAGAAATTTAAGAAATTAATAACAAAATTTAGAAATTAACAAAAGCACGTACCAAAAATACTAAAAAATAAAATAAAATGAAAAAAAGTTCATATTTTAGTAGTTTTCATGTGTGTGTTTATCATTTTTTATATTTCTATAAAATGTAAATGTATTTTTATTTTAGAAAAAAATTCAGTTTTAGCATTCATTTTAATTTTAGTTAAATTTTAGTAATTCTGTTATGTGCTTTTGTATTGTATTCTTATATCAGTGTCGTTACCCATTAATGAAAATGATTAAAAACATTTTTGTTAGCTGAAATTAAATAAAATATAAATGCTGAAGTTGAAGTACTAAAACTGAAATAAAGGTAAATTAAAAATATTTTGAAAAATTTTAAAAACAAACACGCAAACGGCTTAAAAAAAAAACTTACTGGAAATAACTTTAAGTTACCGAAGTGTAGTCATATTTAATTTGACAAAGAAGAAAAAATGGGAGAGACGTGTGGATTATTAAAACGCTGAAAATAATTATTTCTTGATCAACTTCCAGCAGAGGGAAACTCTGGAAGCATTCACTGAGAATCAAGACTGATTCTGAGTGTGAACTGTGCACACCTCGGTCTGTCAGAAGTGAGTTAGACGGCGGCTGTGTTTGTGTTTGCTCCTCCTCGGCTGCAGGGGGCGCTGTGACGGAGCTCTGCTGGAGCCACTGGCGTTTCTTGGAGACGGTGATGTGGTTAAACGGGGTCTGACGCTGACAGACAAACTCCATCGCTGCTGCAAACACAAACGAACAAAACCAACACTTCTGCTGATTCAGCTCATCTGACTGCTGCCATTAGCGCAAAACATGCAAGTGCATCCGCTCAGATCAAACACAAGTCCAAAATCAAACCGAAAAGAGTCATTTATTGTTTTTGGTTTCATAAAAATCTCAAAACCTTCAGCGTCAGCCGGGACTGACAGCATCTTTCATCATGAAACCATTTACAGACTCTGCACTGCTTTCTAATATTCACAAGCAGTGCTGTTATCGGTAACTAAAACTAAGCTATTAAAAACATTTTTGTGCATTGGTATTAAGCTGAATTAAAATAAAATATAATATTAGACAAAAAACTTCAACCTAAAAATTTATGAAACTAGAATATGTGTCCTAAAATTACTAACTGAAATTAAACTAAAACTAAAACTGAAATAAAAATAAATGTAAACTATTTAGAAATATAGAACAACTAATAAATGCACATAATAAATTTACTAAAAAACTGAAAAAATAAGCATTCTAAAAAACAAAAATCTAAATATTAATAAAAACTATAAAATTACATCAGGGAAAATGAGAAAAATTGCAGAAATAAGTGTAATCTGAAGTACTAAAATTACTAACTGAGATAAAAATAAAAAACTATTTAGAAATTAGTGCTGTCAAACGCATCCAAATTAAAAGGTTTTGTTTACATAATATATGTGTGTGCAGTGTATATTTATTATGTATAGATAAATACACACACATGCATGTATATATTTAAGAAAAATATGTTTATACATTTAAAATATTTATATATAATATCAATTATATTAATATAAATATATACATGGAAATACATGGAAATATTTTCGAAATATATACTGTTTGTGTGTATATTTATATATGCATAATAAATATACACAGTACACACACATATATTTTGTAAACAAAAACTTTTATTTTGGATGCGATTAATCGCGATTAATCATTTGACAGCACTATTAGAAATATTAAAAAAACCAAAAATTTTTTAAAAGTTCATAACAACATTACAAAAAATCTATTAAATAATAATATAAAAGCAAATTCAAAATATTAATATATAATATCAATGAATAAACAAAAATGAGAAATGCTGCTTTGGCAACTAATGGAGGTAAGTGTAAGTTGAAGTACTAAAATCGCTACATAAAAAAACTAATTAAAAACTATTCATAAAAAAAATGTAATGACAAAAGTACTTAAAATGACAAAAAAATAAACAAACGAAAACTGAAAGTATAAAAATAAAAGCTAATTTGAAAATATAAATGAAAACTACTAAAAATTAAAAATGTTGTCTTGCAACTAATGGAAATAAATTTAAGTACTAAAATTACTAACTGAAATACAAAGAAAAGATAAAAATGTAATAAAAATAATAAAAGTAAAAATGATAATGATAACAATGACAGAAATAATAGAATAAAAAATGACAAAATCACATAAAATGACTAAAAATTACACTAAAATAAAAACTGAAAATATAAAAATGATAGCAAATTTTAAAAATAGGCTAGGTGTGTACTTTATAGAATCTGCAGAAACTGCATCTGAAATGACGCGCAGAAATATAACTGTTGTTTATTTGGATCCCCATTAGCTTCCACAGAGTGGTTGCTAGTCTTCCTGGGGTCCACAAATCAATCATTTAAATAAATGAAAAAGAAAAAAGAAAAATACAATTTTACTTATCACATCACAAAACTATACATCTAAGCAGAAGCAGCACTTAAAATATACATCTACATATTCATAAGCAAATCTTCACATTTTCTTCTAAATACATATGCACACACTGAAAAAAATGATACTAATTTTTTAAGGTAAGTGGTTGCAAACAAATTATTTTAGCTATATTTAAAAAAACATGTTTAAAGTTAGTCAACTAAATTTGTTTATTTTAATGTAGCTAAAATAAACGGATTGCAACCACTTACCTTAAAAAAAAAATTTGTAAATTCAATGCATCATTTTTTTTCAGTGCAGTTGCTCTTTCGTATTTTTATGGGAACCATATTCCAAGCAACAGAGCCTCGATAAAGTGCGGGAATCAACGGCAGCCTGAGAAGCGTCCCAAAGTTAGATAACTGAGACTTTACTACTCCGACAAAACATAAATATACACTAGCGTTCAAAACTGTTTGGGGTCGGCAAGATTTTGTAACGTTTGTGAAAGTCTCGTCAATTGTGAAATATTCGTACAATTTAAAATAGATGTTTTCTGTGTGAATATATGTTAACGTGTAAATTATTGTTGTGATCAAACCTGAATGAAAAGCTGGACAACAATTCTGAATGGTGCATAATCGAACTACTAAAAATATAAAGAAGTGCACAAAAAAATTAATAAATAAAAATTTTTTTTTTTTTAAATATTACAATACGTATTTAAATTATTTAAAAATTTTCTTGCTTCTATAGAGTGTATTTATTTAAATATTTATTTTATACATATTTTTTAAGTCTTTTAAAAATAAATATTTTAAAAACAGAAATTGATATTTAAAATATTTACATAAATGTTTTAATACATTGTTTTTTTTTTATAGGTAGCTATTTATTTAAATATTTATACAAAAATTAAATACACATTTAAAAAATAACACATTTAAAATGTAAATTTTTACATATTTTAAATATTTTAACAAGTAAATAAATATTTTAAAAAATAACAAATATTTAAAACATTTACATAAATATATATTTTTAAAAGTAAATAAATATTAACATAAATATTTCACATTTTTAGACAAATATTTAGAATATTTTAATAACCGTTCTTGCTTTTAAAGATGGTTATTTAAATATTCAAAAGTATTTAAATACATATGTAAATAAATACTTAAAATATTTACACAAATATTTTAAAATTTTAAATAAATAGTTTTACAAAAAATTATAAATATTTAAAATATTATATTTATTTTTCAATAATAAACCCTCTATAAAAGCAAAAAATAACTTTTGGGGCTGTTTATGGGTAAACAGCACATCAGTATATCTGTATGTACATCTGATGTTCTTCAGTTGTTATTATCTGTGGCGTGAGCGTGCGTCGCGGGACACGTTAGATTTAGTCGTGCTGTGACGCTTCAGTAAAGATTGTTGTGATAATCCTGTCTGTCTTTGAGTCAAAGCGGGTCTGGGCTGAATGAGGGCACGTCAATCCAAACACACCTGGACCATTTCACTGCTAAAACAGTCAGCATATGATTACAGACGCTCAGATGTGTTATTACAGCTCAAGCATTTACCAACAACACAATCATGTGATGCTGCACTTATGTAAGGTGGATTTGAACCTCTTGCTAAGCTCTTTAGCGGCTCTTTCCCGCTCGGATGGAAAAGGGACAACAAAGGTGTTGGAGATATGGGTCAGATTCGCCTCAATCACTGAAAAACAGGGCTCAGATGATCAGATTCATTCATTCTGTCAGCGTTCATATTAGCACTAATCATGAGCTGTAAATTAATCTGGATCATCTGCTGGCATTTGTAATTCACACCACTGCTTTTTTCTGCACAACATCCACAATCACAGAATTAACCCTCGCCAAACACCAGTTTATTCTCTAAAACTGCATGTGACTACAGATGTGTTTACTATTTATTGCATTAAAGCCATTAAAACTACAATCACAATGTCTGACGTAAACATGCACGGGAAAAACAGCTTAATAATACTAACAAACAAATAAATAAAGTTCATTTCATTATTAAATAAATGAGAAATGCAGATGGACTCAAACATGCAAGAGAAAAACAGTTAAATATTAAATACATAACTAAATAAGTTAATTAAGAAATTAATAAATGAGAGAGAGAGAGAGAGAGAGAGATTGACTCAAACATGCAATGGAAAATATAGCTGAATAAATAAATAAATAACTAGATGACGGCGATTGATGCAAAAATGCAAGGAAAAAATGCTAAATGAATGAATGAATAAATTAATAAATTAATTTAAAGAAAGAAAGAAAATCATTTAATTCATTAATAAATTAATAAATGAGAAATAAATCATTAAATTGATAAATTAATTAATTAATGATGAAGATGGATGGATGGATGGATGGATAGACCCATGGATGGAAAGATGGATGGAAAGATGGATGGATGGATGGATGGATGGATGGATGGAAAGATGGATGGATGGATGGATGGAAAGATGGATGGATGGACGGATGGATGGAAAGATGGATGGACGGAAAGATGGATGGATGGATGGATGGATGGATGGATGGAAAGATGGATGGATGGATGGATGGTAGAATGGATGGATGGATGGATGGATGGATGGATGGATGGATGGATGGATGGATGGATGGATGGATGGATGGATGGATGGATGGATGGATGGATGGATGGATGGATGGATGGATGGATGGATGGATGGATGGATGGATGGATGGATGGATGGATGGATAGATGGATGGATGGATGGATGGATGGATAGATGGATGGATGGATGGATGGATGGATAGATGGATGGATGGATGGATGGATGGATAGATGGATGGATGGATGGATGGATGGATAGATGGATGGATGGATGGATGGATGGATAGATGGATGGATGGATGGATGGATGGATAGATGGATGGATGGATGGATGGATGGAAAGATGGATGGATGGATGGAGATGGATGGATGGATGGATGGATGGATGGATGGATGGATGGATGGATGGATGGATGGATGGATGGATGGATGGATGGATGGATGGATGGATGGATGGATGGATGGATGGATGGATGGATGGATGGATGGATGGATGGATGGATGGATGGATGGATGGATGGATGGATGGATGGATGGATGGATGGATGGATGGATGGATGGATGGATGGATGGATGGATGGATGGATGGATGGATGGATGGATGGATGGATGGATGGATGGATGGATGGATGGATGGATGGATGGATGGATGGATGGATGGATGGATGGATGGATGGATGGATGGATGGATGGATGGATGGAT